TATATATTACAACCTATTTGCTTTTGACTGCATATGCGTTTTTATTTGAAAGTGTATTTAATTTATGTTTTGAGACGGTCCCTGTACGCATTGTTTGTGTAGTATTACAACGTGCTACTGTCCATTGTGACAATACACATGGGAATACTATACTGACATTAAATTATGTCCCAGAATAAACTGATTATTTCTGAACGTTTAACATGTCATATTTGTAATTCCACCATAGCCTGAGCAAATGTCGGAATACAAGAAGAAAATGAACAAAATGATATTACTGTTAAAAATATTTATCCTAGGTCGGAAAACAGAAAGATTATTAAACAGTATTGTGTCTAAAATAGTTATTTTCATTAATAGATACTAACAGACCAAGGGAACATTCATTTAAATGATTAAAGATTAACATAAAACTAAATTTATCATCAATAGAATATAATTAATGTTATATTATCATCCCGAGGGTTTAAATTACACAGTGAATACATTTATGAAAATCAGTACCAATTATCAGGAATGAACACAAATAAATTAGTATCTAATGTTTAAACTGTAGGGAATGAAAAAAATAGTTGCATGGTTATAATTCAGAAGAATTTTGAATCCTTGTATTTCACAATAAACGTAATTATATATATAATATTTTACAATAATCATAATTACTACGTATACACGTTACTAATTTTATACCGTTTACGTATGTTTTGAAAACTATCTGCTTATATTTTGTATAGAAATAAAATACAAAGTTAGAATTGAAGAAGAGATTGATTTGATAAAAAAAAATGCCATAAGTAAATACTTGACGTTTTTGTTTATTGATAGTATGTTTTAAATTTCTGGAAAAGATTTATTAAACTGTTAGGAATGTATATTAATTGAATTTTAATTCTTTTTTTTTTTTCTTTTTTTTTAATAGTTCAAACTTATAGCATCTAAATCTTTGCAATGATTGTGCGATTTTGAAAATTGTATGCATTGTGTTGACCAGCTATCGTACAAACGTCTTGTCGTTTATTTACATAATATCACTTATTATTACACCCTGTTTACACGACACAATAAAGTCGGATTTTAAATCTGGTTTGACAACAATATTGGTGTTGTGTTGACACAAATTCCGGATTTAATGGCAAAGAATCCGGAGTCAAATCACTTGAGGTAAGCGGTTTGACACCTGAATTCAACTAACGTTAGATTTGAATCTATAGAATAAATATACGTGATGACTCAAATTCATATTCTTATCCAGAATATCAGTGCGTATGCTTGCCATTAACTATTTCTTGCGCAAGAAAACTACGTGCATGCGTAAACATTGATTTCACACGTGGTAGGTGATTTTGAAGCATGCTCATCATTGAGGTACTCCGACATCTAGTTGCTTTTCTAATCGTTTTCTTTCTTTTTGGGTGAATGTCCTATTATAAACTTTATGAAATTTTCGAAATACTAAGGATAACCCGAGGAATAGATTACCTTGGCTGTATTTGGCAAAACCTTTCGGAATTTTGGGTCCTCAATGCTCCTAAACTTTGTTCTATATTTGGCCTTTTTTAATGTTTTGTAGTCGTAACGCCTGACGTACAAAAATTTAAACCTGACCACGTGTCCATGATGAGTTTATTGACTTTTACCAAATATAAATTGGTTCTTTTGTGTGCATGTTCACAAGACTTATGAAAAAAGATATTTTTCAAAACTAAGTCTTCCTGTCGAATTTGTGGTGGATTGCGTCGGACATAATGTATAAGTACAGATGATGAAAAACGCACCATTTCAAATTTCACAAAGAGGGGAGACAAAACAATTCACAGACGATTAGAATCATGTGCAAAACAGTGTAGACGAGACCATTGATTGGCGCGCTAAAATATCCCATTGACTGGGTCAGGTTAGGTGAACGTTCGTCTGTAACGCCCACAACTCACGACGTATTTATTATAAACATTTAAACTGTGGGGTTGCCAAAGGGTCTCAGTATATATACGAACTACAGTGCACAGTATATTATATACATATTTTATTTGCGATCATAAAAGTACGAAGTCGTCCATTACTATCTAAATTGGGTCGATTAAAAAAAAAGCTGAATATGTTTCTGTTGCCAAGGGTTTTTCACAAGTATAGTAGTTAGCAGAAAAGTTCACCAAACTATACATTTTACCTATTCAAAAACGTAAATGCAAATTCCACAAGGCTTGATCCAAATAGCCTTTTTATTGTCTAATAACTTGCAAGTACGAAAAAGACAGGACAGAAGTATATTTTGTCTATATGTTTTGTGTACGCACACTTTTTAAAGTTGATCATGCATTCGTTCTAAAATAAAATTTAGACCAGATAAAAGTTAAAAGATGACATAATTGGACAACCGCAATTGTTAAATCGCTTTGACGTCCGAAAAAAAAAAGATAATAATCAACACATGCATTGTAACTTTTAAAGCCAGTTAAATCCTTTTTTTTTTTGCTGAAAGAACGTGCGATATCATAAAAATTGATTATCAAAACATAACGAAAACACAAGTAAAGAACGTTTAAGTATTCAATATAAATCAAAACACAAAGGTTATTCCTGATTAGTTTTTCGAATTATTTTATTTAGGCGTTGAGACCCTTTGGTGACCCCACAGTTTAAATGTCTATAATAAATACGTCGTAAGTTGTGGGCGTTACAGACGAACGTTCACCTAATCTGACCCAGTCAATGGGATATTTTAGCGCGCCAATCAATGGTCTCGGCTACACTGTTTTGCACATGATTCTAACACGGGTGCCTTTTTGTGAAAAGGACATATTGCTCACATAGGCGTCGGAAAAAGCCCGAGGGTATTCACAGTCTTATAAGGAGTTTTTATAACAAGTATACAAGTATGTATGAAAAAAGTGTTGGTATTTCTTTGTGTGAATAAATGGAGATGTGGGATATACAATAAGATGTTAAACACATAAAACCAAAGACATCTAGATAACACGTGACTAATGCAGGATAGACGAGTATTTTATACTACTAATTTGTAAATTAATTAGTAACAGATTCGTTGGTCCCTTGAATTGGCAAGTTAATTAGTATATTTAGTATAGCAAGTGTTAATTCTATAGAATTATGCATAATTTATGTTCACAACAATATAATAGTCAGATTTTAATTATAATAGTAACATATTTCAGTCTCCTGGTTCATATTTGTTCAAATCTTTAAACTTCTTGTATTTCAAGAGAATACTCAAACCCTTATGAAATAAGAAGCTGTGGTATGATTGCTAAAGAGACAACTTTCCATCAAAGACAAAATGACGTAGATGTTAGCTTGCTTACATTGCTATATATATGAGATCTCCCAATTACCATTCCACTATGAACTGCTTATTCGAAAAGAAATTTTGTCACCAAATGCCTTATAAAATAGAACATCATCATATATGCTAATATATATTTTTTCACTCGATAAAATGCCGGGAGCATATTGTTTTACCCATGTCTTTTCGACTGTCCGTCCCGCACTTGATATATAGGGTTTACTAGGCTAATTTTTAGGACGACAGTTTTTAAGCTTCAGTTTTTAAATTATGTACCTAGTTTTTAGTACATATAATAAAGGTGCGCATATGGTCAGAATTTTTTTTTAAATGACCGGTTGGCATTTTGATAATATATAAAGGCACGCAGAGTACGGAGTCTGGCTCACTCCTCAGTCCTACATGCACAATTTCAAGCTTGAACTTTTATATTGCACAGAGTATTTTACTTATATAAGGGGTGCATATATATTCACAGCATTTTTTTTTATAGTTTTCCACGAATGACAGAATGTTGAACTTGGTCTTTTTAAGTGAAATTTTGCATTCAGTTTGCAAGGTTTGTCCGACTAACTACGCACACAACTCACACGTTACGGTTTACACCATATAGAGTACAATACTACATTAAGAATGTGTATTTCATTAGGATATTGATTTTATTAATGAGTTTCATAACTAACAGAATGTTTAACCTTTTTTGACGGGTGCATCAAATGTGTCTTTTAGACACATTTATTGCAATTTGTATTGTATATCGTTCTGAACATGCATGAAATATTTGCCACTAGACGTTAAGCAACCATCAATCATTCAATTGAATCGTTCTTCAACATCACTGTTTACTTAATCATTTTTAAGCTCTTTATTCATGCATGGATGCTGCGGTGACATCACCTTTGTTTAGTTGTGTAGGGTTAAGTTGAAGATTCAGATTTGAGTAGCTAAATGAGCATCTGGTCAGGACGAAATATAAATAATCAGTAGAATGTTATTTTGAATTAATAGGAAAATTACAAAACCCTACAAGGGAAATGAAAATAAAATAACAAACACCATTCAGATCCCGTTACATATTTTTTCAATATGTGTCTGAGTAAAAATAACGTGATTCTGCATTCTTAAATACTAAATGTACATTCAGTAGTGATATAGATTATGTTCTATGTATTACAAAAGGTTAATATTCTATTTACTTATTTTAAACACCGTCTTGTATTGAGGATTGTTATCCATTCTTTTATTTTCAATGAAATATAATATAAGATTACAGAATATTTAGTAGTATTTGCTCGGAAACAGGTCCATTAATTGGATTTGATATCGTATTCGTATTCAGTAACGTCAAACGTTTTCTGTCGAATTCTAAGCGTATCGATCAACTTTGAAACAATTTATCTAAAAAACAAGGATGGTGACATATGTGTTTCTATACATGAATGGATTCAGTATAGAATCCTGGATATTATGTTAGTTTTTAGTATTTCTTCGTATATAAGAGCAAAGCCATGTATTGAAAAACCTAAAAAAAAAAATACAAAAAAGGGCATTTTCCCTATACAGCTATGTAAATTTGTCGCCAAAATTGACGTTTTCTTATGAAAATTACAAAAAAAAACAACCAAAAATGGTGACCCCATTTTTTATTTCATATTCCGATGTAACTCGAATCAAAGTACAAGTGTGCCAAAAATTTTAGAAATTGGGAGATATGCCATTTGGTATCGTACTACCTTAACAAAGCAATCTACTCCACCTCCTTGTTACTACAAACCTACTCAACCTCCTGGTTACTACAAACCTACTCCACCTCCTGGTTACTACAAACCTACTCCACCTCCTGGTTACTACAAACATACTCCACCTCCTGGTTACTACAAACCTACTCCAACTCAAACAGAGTTATACCATCTACACAAATTCCAGCTGTAAAACGGAGAACTCACATGTAACACCTGTGGCATTCAGTAGGTGGGAGAAACAATAGACAAATTTAATATTCGGCTAAATAATCACCGATCATGGTACAAAACCAACAAAAACTGTCCCCTTCCAAAAAAAGATCTTCGCCCAAAAAAACATCCTTTCGATAATGTCACTTTTCAAATCATAGAAGTGAAGGAGAAAGGAAAACTTTTGGATCCACCAGCTCCATACTTTAGAACCTAATGGGCTTAATGAAAAAGACGAGAAAGGATACAGGAAAGATCAAGAATAATTAAATATACAGCATCGTCCTTTATATCTCTGTAATGCTGCCCAATGGACGTTGCTAACTTCAACCACAAACTTCGTAATTTCGGTGGAGTCCATTTAGCTGAACTAGTATACATTATTGTAAAGGGGTCAGCTGAAGCCCACCTCTGGGAGCGGGATTTTCTCGCAGCGTTCAAGACCCATTGGTGGCCTTGGGCTGTTTTCTGCTCTTTGGTCGGGTTGTTGTCTCTTTGACACATTCCCCGTTTCTATTCTCAATTCTATAAATATTACAAAAACGAAAACTTATGGCCAGGTATACCTGATGATGATAGGCCTAGGTCCATACGACCTTAACCGAAACACCTTTTATATTACAAGGAACACAGACTCTGCCATGTGATTCTTTTCTAAAAATACGCACACTATTTGAATAACAAGTACATGCGAGTTTCTTTTAAAAGTACTAAAAATACTGACAAAAGTATTCATTATTAAACAAAAAATTATTATCTTACATTGAGTAATATAGAAAAAAGGAGATGTGGTATGATTGCCAATGAGACAACTATCCACCAAAGTTCAAATGAAGAGGATTGTAAGGAATTAAAGGCAACTGTACAGCCTTTAACAATGAGAAAAACCCATACCGTATAGTAGGCTATAAAAAGCCCTGACATGTAAAATATGAAACATTTCAACTGAAAAAAACCAACGGCCTAATTTATAACAAAACAATTTAGGAAAAACAAATATGACAGACATGAACCAACGACAACACTGAACTACAAGCTCATAAAGAATGTGGCGGCGTTAACACCTTTTTGTCGTCTTTCTTTTAGCGGTTATATTTTTGCGCCAAAGGAAAGTCCGGGAAAATTTCGGGATTCTTCGTATGTTATCCTAAGTGTAATTGCATTCGGAATTCAAGTAGAAACGGCGCGAAAATTCAAAAATGCGCGAAAAACCGACTTCCGTTAGTGGCAATGGACTTGGGCCAAAATGAGCCGAACAAGTGATAAATACCTAAATATTCTGGATATCTGGGAGATTGTAGATACAAAACAAATACATTGGCGAAAAGGTTAGTCTTTTTTCATACCATTCAAGTCCAAGTTTGTTGAAAATAACTAGATTTTGTGACAGAAAACGTACCGGAGGCGAGCATATGTACGAAAATTAAAATTTCGATCTTTCTTGCCTTGTGGAAGAGTGGGATAGAGGTGTAATTTTTTTTACTAATACTGTTAAATCGCATTGAAAAGACTTTGAACACCTTAAATAAGTAAAACTAAGTTAAGGAAAGAAATTACCAATTAAAATCGTTCTTAAAAGAATATTTAAAAATAGATGTTTGGTGTCAGATCTAAATTAGTATCATTGGCAGACAAATCGTCACTACCTTCTATTAAAATTTTGCTCAGATAGTTCGGACATAGATCCCGCAACATTGCTATATTTATATCTAGACAAATCAGAATCTTAATACCAAGTAGAAGAGTAATCCGATAGTACGTGTAACGGACGCAATGAATTAAATAGTGCTCAGTGCTTTCAATACGGTTACCTGGGCAGAAATCATAAAACCTATGTAATGTAAGTTTATATGTGTACAACTGGTCAGAGCGAAGCCCATATGAAAAACAGTTCAATTGCCTACATGTACGCGGCCTATGAATGGAAAATTACCGTTATTAAAATAATGAAAATATTACTGTCATTTCAATCTTGGACAAGAGCCTGTCTGTAATGATTTGTATTTATTTTCAGTTTGTCCAAGATTGCAACGACAATAATATTTTCATTAATTCAATAAAAACATATACTTGTACAGCATAAGATGTAATTGTACAGTAAAGATGTAGGTCTTGTTAATTAGTTGTACACCAATGATGTAGTTCTGTTTCGTTAATTAGTTGTGCAAATGTACGTGTACGAGGATTAAAATCTCGATGATAAGTTAAATGTTACAGCGAATATAATGACTAAATGGGGAAGAAAAGATGCATGACAAATGGAATGGCACATCCAGTTATTTGTTTGTCGAATTTACTATCATCTAAAAAAAAAAGTTTTTTTGGCGTCTTTGTTACATTTATTTGTGCGTTTGTTTGATTTTTTTAGTCAGTAGTGTTGTATGTCTGTGGTGTATGTTTACTCAGTTTTGGCTTCTGGATCCCAATTATTGTCACATTAACCTATTATGTCTGTGTGTGTTGCTCATCCAATTTTGTCAATATAACAGACCTATTAACAACTGTCATACAAGTTTAGGGTTTAACTAGTTATAAAACCAGGTTTAACCAGCTTTTTCTTTGGAAAATGCCAATAACAGGTTAGCAATAATATGACAATGTCTTTCCATTCGTTCTATTGGTTGATAAAGTCGAACGTTTTATTTTGTCAGTTTTTATGGAATTCCCCTTTTTGAATTTACCTTGGAGTTCGGTATTTTTATTTTACTTTTTTATTCGTAATTTTTCATAAAGCAAGCAAATTTAAAATTGTCTTTTAAATTTTTCATTTATCATTTAATATTTTGACATGGAAATCTTGGTCTTTATTTTGGGTATAGAATTAAGTTCCTCCCAGGACCCCTCCGCGCGGCAATAAAACCCATGTTCAAGAGGGCGCTCAGTTTACCTGTGTAAAATATATAAATACACAGTAACGTCCAGTCGGAATGGGAACATAATAGCCTATAGCTCGTGTAGGGAGAAAGACACGCTCCCTGCACGTTATCGTACCTTGCAACACCCTGAGAGGTGTCTGTAGGTGACCTGATGCAATATCTGCCCTTATCCAACTAGAAGCAATCGAATCTCCCGCCGTCATCTCATTAGACCCACTTCGCAGAACCGAACTTTTGGTTTAATTGTTAATTTTCCCTTTAAGAAAAAAAAAAAAAAATATCAATCAATGTTCGTCTCTGAAACTACATGTGCGAAAATGGTGGGATTACGTCCCCTACAACTCAAATCCTAACAACATCCAAACAGACTCACAATGGAACTAATTAAACTATTATTTATACTTTTTGTAATTACTTATATGTTGCGGGTTTCGACAAGGAATATGAGAGGTACAATGTATGGCACCTCATACTTTTAGTCTGTTTTAAATGAATCAGAAGTTTGTTTATTAACAGAACATTCGTTAAACGAAAACAATATTTCATTTTTGAGCACTTTTGCAGGTAATTTCCATTTGATATACAGTATTGGTATAAAATGTAATAACACAGTTAAAGGTTCTGGTGGAACGGCTATTTTAGTACCAAATCATTAAATTTTAAAATACAAAATCTTAATATTACAAATGATAGAATGCGTGGAGTAAAACTTTGTTCAGATAAATATTATGACATTTGCTTAATATGTGTACTTTTACCCTCCACAAATTTTTCTTCGGAGGTTTATATGAATTATATTGATGAGTTATGTACATGCTATGACAAATATTCTGAAGATTGTACTATTATTGTAGGTGGTGACTGTAATATTGACTTACCAACATTATCCAGTCTTTGTACAGATGAATATTGATCTGATAAGTAGGACGTCAAACGTATACAACATAAATAAAAAGACATTGAAATGGTCAAAAGCAGATGATTTTCAACTTAAGATGTATCAAACCGAAATCGACAAACTTTTAAACTTTGAGACACACTCTGATAATTTAACAAAAGGTGACGTTGAAAGATTTTCTTCTCTACTAATAAACGCCCTACATATGGCGGCAAATTCTTGTATTCCAGTTGGAACATTCCGACCGTACTTAAAACCTTATTGGAAAAATCAAAATCTTAATAACTGTCATTTTGAGCAAAGATATGCAAGACGTAAATGGATAAACAACAATAAAACAATAGAAAAACTCATCTCAGCTATGTCGAATATAAAAATAAAAAACGAGAATTTCGTAAGCGAAAACGAATCGCTGAAAAACTTTGGCAGGAGGAAAAATTCGAGGATATAAAACTTGCTGCTGAAATGGATATTGGTGAATTTTATCAACGTGTACGCCGTATGCGAAAAAGTGGTCCATCAACTACAAAGTTGTCATACAATGGTACTGAAACTACAAACGATAATAGTATATGTGAATTATGGAGTGAATATTTCCGCGATCTATACTCTGAGCAACCAACTGAATGTTTCAATGAAACTTTTTTCCAGGAAATTTCGTCGAAAGTGCAAACATACTTTGAAAATAGTGATAAAGCATCTAAAAACAAGTTACCTTTGAAGAAATTCGTGAAAAAATAAAATACTCTTAAGTGTGGGAAAGCACCGGGACCGGATCGTATTACTAACGAACATATACTATATGGCGGTGATCAAGTGATCAAATGTTTGTGTAAACTTTTACATATATGTACACTACAGAGATGTATCCTGCCGAACTGACTTTAAATAAAGCTAATACTAACAATGAACACTGCCCTTTCCTGAGTCTTAATATCTTTATCTTTAACGGGAAGCTTAATACCAAAATTTATGATAAAAGAGATGATTTTTCATTTCCTATTGTTAAGTATCCATTTTTAGATAGTGACGTTCCCTTATCGCCATCTTATGATGTTTATATATCTCAACTTGTTCGATTCGCTCGTGTATGTAACAACGTATTTGATTTCAACGAAAGAAATCTCTGTATTACTGAAAAATTATTACACCAGGGTTTTCGATATCACATACTAGTCAAAACATTTACTAAATTATATCATCGGT